CAATAGTCACCTCCTACCTTTGTCATCAGCTAGTGCAATTTAGATTTAGCTAGTGACTGCACATTCACATAAACACACACCATTCTCTCCAATTGGTGGTATCCCAAGCTCACTCCCTACCTTTACTGCAGAAGAAAATGCTTAGCAAGACAAGAGAGAATGTACTGATCATGCACAAGCCATGGCCAGATAAGAATACTGCCAGAAACTTCTTTACATGACTGGCCTCTTATTTCCCTCTCCTCCCCCCTCCACACAAAAACACACTCATTCCTTCCCAAACAACCATGACCCCTTACTCTGCCTTTGGTCCTTGCCTGAAGATCCCAAGACACTGTACAATTACAAGCTGTTATTCTTCTGTATTCCCTAATCTCAATCTGAAAAACTCTGTAGTGCTATTGAGTCACCCCTGGACCACGTGGTGAGGGGCTCACTGATGAGACATGACAGCCCTCAGAAGAGCCGGGATATGAACTCATCTGGTGAGGTTACTGAGGTTTCACCAACCAGTGATATGCCTCTGTGCTCCTTCATACATGGGTGATGAACTTTTTGCGACACAATCTAACAATGCTTTGTTCTTACATACATTCCACCTCCCGGCACCATGAGCATTCTCTCTTCTCTAGGCACTCTACTCCTGGCCTTTGAGCAGCAAAGCCTCCCACCTTGGCAGCTGTGCGCTAAACTGTTAACCAGGTGAAGGCTGATAGTCTTCTCAGTCTCTTTCCTGTGCAGCTCTGGGCTGTCCATGGTATTAGACTAGTTCAAATTCAATCCTGTAACAAATAAACTTAGGCCATCTGTCCATGTGAAAGCAGAGTGCGCATTTACCAATTAATCATGTTCTATACTGTATCTTTAAGCTTACTATTACTGCATTACTTTTTGTTGTTATTCATTAGACATACTCCTTTCATTTAACACTAGGCAGCCAGGCAGGACAAAAGCACACAGATTTAAAACAGCATATAAGATGTTACTGAAAATACAGCATCCTCATTCCTCAATGGTTGTGCATGATAATGCCTTAAGAAATACATTTTGTGTACACAGTGATACTATGAAAATTAAAAAATTATACTTTGATCAAAAATCTCCTCCTTCCTATATTTGGGTAGGAAAGCTGTCTTTGTAAAAATAATAGCTAGATTTTTAGGAAAAGTAATTGCCTTATTTTTACAAGCTAGACACACAAAAAACTGCTGCACTTTATTCCTGCCAAGCAAAATAAATTTCCCCTTTGCCAGTGATGGTTTTCTGAACTGCTTATTAAGCTGACTGTCCTAAGAGTCATCATCTTTTTACCAGCTATCAGGAAAAAGAGTTCACGTCACCTTTAAGTAAAATGTTTCATGCCTTCTTCCTCTTGTAGATTTATTAAGAGATACCAGACATTACAAGACATCGATATTTTTCTGCTTGTGTTCTTATTTCGCTAAGACTTCCCCACAGAACAGCTGCCAGTTAAGTGATGAACATTCAGAAAACAGTGACAGAAGAAGACTACACTCTTCACAAGCAGCTTGAACAGGCACAACCCAATCCAGGACTGTGCTTGGGTAGAGCAGTAAGGCAGGCACCAATCATTTGTCTGGTGTGCTATGAAGAACTGTAACAGTAGCCAAATAGTTCATACTTCAGTTCCAGCCTCAACAGTGGCCTCACTCAAACCATTAAAGTTAATATTACCATAGCTAGTAATGTGTACATTTACACTTTATCCAAGCTACTATGATATCCATTATGAATGTTTAGGTTGGAGGTAATCTGATCTGACCATCTCATCAAAATAGGGATAACCTTTAGTCTCTTGAAGTATACTTGAGAACATCCATCTGAGGGGAAAACTTGATTTTTTTGTTCTTATTGCCTGAACAATGCTAAGCAGGTAGAAGGCAGTAATTCTGAGTTAAATAATAAATAGCACTTCTACAATAAGCAAATGGAAGGCAATCCTCTCTCAGTTCATAGTATCTCCATTTCACATACTCAGAGGTTTTCTGAGGGAAGATGCTGCCCTGTGCCTGGGGCTTCTCCTAACCTCACCTGGGTGCCTGCAGGGCTGTTTCTCTCACTTCTCTCACTCCTCTCTCCCAGCTGCTGTTATTCAGCAGATTTTTCCTTTTTAGGCCGGCTCTCACTGAAACACACCCCCAGTGTTGCTCACAGGTCAGCTGTGGCAGCCAGTGGGTTCCTTCGAAGCAGCTGCAGCTGCTCTGGTCTGACAGGGGCACTGCTGCAGCCCTCCCACTACCAAGACCTTGCCACCCAAGGCAAAGTTTTAAGTATACATACATGATACATATTACATACCTTATAACACCCCACTACTGAGTTACTGTACTACTGCTTAATAAGTCTTTGCAGCAGTGTTTATGGTAAAAGAAAAATAAGTGGTCACCTAAGAGATTTTGATGAAGCAAGACGCGAAAGTAGAAGTGAACATAATTAAGATCTTAACTTCCTTACTGCATCACAGAGGGAAAGTGTTTAAAGATACCTGACGCTACAGAGGTTCATCCGACTTCCTTAACTGTCTCTAAAGTGCTAGACAGAAACAGTACAAGGGAAACTCTCCAGCCTGTCCTAAATATTGTGCAAAAGAACATCCGTAACATCTCTGCTGCCAATTTGAATTAATCTTTTGTACCACTTCCTCACAGACTTCTTACCCCTCTGCAGCAACCAGGGTAAAGAAAACAGCACTTGTATTAAGTGCTTTAGCCTGCACAATATTATCATGGTAAGGGCAGAGGGCAAAGCTGCAGGCTGCATAAATTTTTAAGCACCTCCAAAGTTAAATTCATGCTATTCTATCAGTTCACAAATAGGTCACACCTGCACGCCCCAAACCGTTGCCAGGGGCACTGCTACAAGCAATACTGTGAGAGGTAGATAATTTGACTGTGAACCTTCTCTACAGACCCACTAGTACACAGGTGGTTCTTAATTCCACCCTTAATGTGAGCCACTGTTATTAGCTATTTAGAAGAATACATAAGCAGCTGGATTGAAATCTCAGGTTTACATTTTCGTTATTTCTATAGTGAAGCTCTTATAAAAGGAGTAAGATTCTCAGCTGAGTCCAGTTGGTGTTGAATTCTTAAGACCAGAAATGCAAAATCAACTTTGTAGAGGTTCTTTTCAGCAAAGCTCTGATCAAGAAAAAGCTTAGTGTTATATCTCAGGATAAAGTAGTAATCAGTTACAAACCAATCCCTTGAAAAATTATAATTCATCCACCTCTCAAACTAATAAATAGCAAAGGAAGTCAGTATACCTTTAAGGTACTCTAAATCTAAAGTGCATTTTCCAATATTGAATCTGGGTCATAAGGAATTGAATTCAGAGGGATCACAAAAGCAAGATAACTTAATTGTATATTAGAAATGAGTTAAGTGTTATATTTCTGACCTCAGCTAAAGCTGTTCCACTCAAAAGCTTCTGCAAAACAGGAAAGCTCTTGACCCCACAGCAGTGAGAAAACAAATTTGAAAATAGATGGATGCAAAGAAATGATCATATACAATGTTGATACACACAACCCCTACCATAACTAAAACCAAACATAAAAACATGCCCAAGCAAACATGAGAAATACTTCTTAGATTCAACTTCTATCTGAAAAGAAATTTTTGAGCTCAAGACTGTACTGATAGTCAGCTGCTCATCTAGCCTAGAAAAATAATCAGTCGATAATTTGATGATTCAATGAATTTGACTTCTGAAAAGCCATTCGTCTTTGCATTATACCTTGCTAGTATACTGCTGGCAGCCTGTTTGAAGTGGTCTGAGCACATATTCAGAACTCTTAGTAGACTTGTTGCTCTACTGATTTACTCAAAAAAACCCAAAACATGCCAGTAAGCCAACTAAGCCAAAAAAAAATCACAGAGATCAGTCTGAATGTATTCTCTTTGTAATAGTTTCTTGAAGAGTCAAGACGCTATAAGTTGTGTATTAATTATAAACGCACAAGAGAAAATTTTTATGAAGAAATAATGCAAATGTATCTCTTCCTTACACCTCCAGTATTTTGTGAGAGAAAAACATGAACACGATATATAATACAATATCTGAAACCCAAGGACTTCACAAATATACGCAGCACACAACACAAGACCATTCAAGAGACAAGTCTACATTTAACTTCTTACTGGTATAATTCAGGAAAAAGTATTCTTCAAAACCTCAACACAACTGCTACTTTCTTTTAAAAAGCAGGAAAAAAAACAACAACAAAAATCACATTATCAAGACAACATTTCTTTTGTTCTGAAATATTTACAAGGCAATACAGAGCAACCTAATATTTTAGGTCACTTTATACTGCAATATAAATAAAATATTAGATTTGTTTCACCATTAGAAGAAAAATCGGCACATGTTTTCTTATGTAAATAAACAATTTACTGATATGACTGATACATATCTAATTACCAAGAACATTTGGACATGATCACTTTCTCACTGATTCCTTTGGGCTATGCATCATAATAGCTGTATTAATCAGTGGATAATCAATGCATGTGAGCAACTTCCAGTGAATTCAGACTGTGCACTGTTACTCACTGTTCAGTGGAGCACATTGGCCTAAAAGATATTAGCAAATTAATAACATATGCCTGAGAGAAATAAATCAGTCCTTATCTCCATACATCTCTTAGTAATCACCAGTCCTTTAACTCCAATAACTATAACATAATTATTTAAAAAGTTGGCAGAGCAGAACACTCAGGAGAAGAAAAAAAAACACTACACCAGAGATTACAAAACATGAAAAACATGAGCTGTACCTTAAACAGAACACTTAGATCTGACAAGTTACTTCATTTCCTTTAGCATAACTTCGCTTGTAAGAGAACTACTTAATTTGAAGACCGTGTAATACAATGGAGAACATGGTAAGACAACAGAACAGCCAGCTCCCAGAGCACAGCAAGCAAAGAGCTACTCAGATACAAAAGCAGTGGCCATAAAAATAAACAACTTACCTTCAGAAGATCTATAAGGTCCTTGTGTACACAGCAGTCACTAGATAAGACGCTCTCAGCTCCGCTGCCAACCCTTAAATGAGGTCTGGGGAGGGGTGGATCCTGGCTCTACCCATTCTAGTCAGACACATTGCATGCAGCTGAGCTCCCCTGGCTTGGCCCTGCTTTCCTACCAGGTGCTCAATCACCGGGTGAGGACGTGACTTAACATTTCCATTACAAGACTGTGGAGACCTGTAAAGAAAATAAATAAGGCATGTTTTATACTACTTTGTTCTCTGTAACACAGAGCAGGTCTGTGGAGAAGGACTTGTGGGTTCTGGTGGTCAAAAAGCTGTACAAAAGTCAGCAGTGTCTGCTTGTAACCCAGAACACTTGTATCCTGAGCTGCATCAAGACCCATAGCCAGCAGGGAGAGGGAGGGAATTATTCCTCTCTACTCTGCCTTCACGAGGCACCATTTGGAGTACTGTGTCCACACCTGGGGCTCCTAGTACAGGAAAGATGTGGAGGTTCTGCAATGGGTCCAGAGGAGGGCCACTAGGATGTCCAGAGGGCTAGAGCACCTCTAGGCAGACTGAGGGAGTTGGGCTTGTTCAGCTGGGAGACGAGAAAATTCTGGGAGACATCACTGTGGCCTTCCAGTACTTGAAGGGTGTTTATAAACAGAAAGACTGACTTTTTACAGAGTTTGATAGCAACAGGAAAAAAATAGGAAGGGCTTTAAACTACAAGCGGGGAGAATAAGTTTAGATGTTTGGAAGAAATTAGTTCCTCAGAGGTTGGTGAGGGGGTTCAACACAACGATCAAAACACAGGCTACAGAACAAGTCTGACAGGTTGGAAGAGGACGCTGAGAACAAAAGGTGTCTCCAGAAGTCAAGTGGGGCGAGTAATCTCCACATAATGACGGCCATGAGTGGAGAAGAAGCCCGTGAATAGAAGCAATTGTGGCTCTGATTGGATGAGCACTAGCGGTGGCAGTTAGTGCCTAGATATGAAGGAGACTTAAGTGTTCTGTTGACGTGTAGGGGGATGGCAAGTTACAGGAGGGAAGCTGGAAATGTACTTAAGGGATATTAGAGCAATTTGGATCGTCACACATCTGAGTCCGTAACTGCTACAGTAGATTCTGGAGATTGATTGGTCTTAACAAAAAAAAAAACCTAAAATCTGCTAACTGTTTTCAATTTTACCTGTAATCATCTAAACGAGTATAGCAATGAGAGAGACAATGCTTCGGTTTTACAGGTGAGGACTTGGCAATCATGTGGCTGCGAACTGCATATTGATACGACAGAAGATTCTGGGACTTCCACTATTCTAGCAGTCCGCTTCCTTTTAGGTAATTAGTAAGTGCAGTTTTAACTTCAGACACTAGTTTCAACAGACTTCTACTTGTGTTTGGATTCACGAGAGAACGTTTTTGTCCATTGCATCTCTCTGCCTGTCAGTCTTCCCATGCAAGCCTAGATGTTCTCTAGGTGGAGATTTAGTGGAACAATAATGCAATCATTTAAGCTCACGAAGTGCTACTGTTTGCTGTATCATCAAGTCAGATAGGTGTTTGCATAATCAGATATTTTAAACTGTTTGATTCTGGAGCATAATTAGACAACTACTTGTGGAAAAAAAAACAAAAACAAAAAAAAAAAAACAACTGGCAGTGTAGTCATCTGAAGCACAGAAAAGTTCCTGGGTAAGTCACTGATGACAAAGGGAGTCTAACTGGTTAAATGAAAAAAGAGATTTGCAACCTGGCTGGTATTCAGCTGTCTTTCCTTGTCTAATTTCTCTTTTTCTCACTGGGCATGATACATTTCTCCTTCCAGGAGATCAGTGCAAACGCACACAGATCATTAGCACAGATGAAAAATAGTTTGTCAAGCAATGAAATACTTTCAGAGACCTGACAACAGCCTATTTGTGCATGCTAAGCCTGAAATATACAGGCAGGACAGAAGTGCTGAAGGAAGATGATTTAGCCAACAATGCTCACTACTTGCAGAAAGTTGTCAACTTGATCCATATAGCACATCTGAATTCTGAGAATAAGCAAAGGTAATCCTTCACTGAAATGCTGTAAGAATCACAGAGGAAAAATAGGTATGTTGCTGGCAGTTACTAATTTGCTCACTGCACTTGCCTGCCACAAAGGTTTTAAGTCAATTCTGCAGCTCTTAAAGGGCGTTTAAAAAGAACAAGACTGGATAAACTTGCATCAAGCAGGGCCAACATCACAATATGACATGAGTTGTTGTCAGCATGGCATTGAGCTCAATTTCTTAAGTTACTCAACTTGTGAACATCTTTCCAAGCTGGGATATGTTTGGAGAAGATATATGACTTATATGGGCAGATCTCAATCTACTGGGAGACATGGTAGAAGCACAATATGCTTAGAAACTTCTAGAGAAAACAGAATTATTCATTTCCTTTGCCTCATAAAGTAAGGTGATGGCAGAAAATAAGTCCTGCTTTTGGAAGGAAAAGAACCTGTTCTGAATTGTGTTATAGAAATCTTCTGCCATGAATAAAGGGAAGATTGTTATTCAACTTATTGTATGCACACATTGTCTTAGATAGCAGGAGATACTGCTTATACTCTTTATTCTGTGTAAAAGAGTTTCTGATGTGTAAATTCATATATAATACAGCAGAGTTTACTAAGAGCTCCAGTATGTTTCAAATGTGAAAAAGTTTTTCCAGATTTGCTTTCATATATGACCAAAGAAGGCACATATTTTTAATTTGTAAACACAGAAATAAATGTGACAGTATTAATAACCTACATGGACCACAACAATTTTTTTTGTTGTTAAGACAAATGTTTTGTGAAAAGACTGCAGTAGGAAGCTGGAAAGACAAGTCAACTTTGCGAACAGAAGCAGCCAGAATCTGCTTTACAGTAAATCTTTAGTGGTAAAATAGGAAATGGAGGAAGTCTGGGTTTAGAAGGACTCTCTGCAGCCATTAAGGAATATTGAAGTTCAGTATCAAGATAAAATTCTAAAGGATTCCACAAATAATTATTTTTCTTTCAAGCATTTTCTTTTTCTTTTCTTTTTTTTTTTTAATATACATTGCTCTCATTTCATGCCATATTATCTTTTTTGCAATTCTTGTACTATTCCTCACATCTTCATTTTTAAATATATTATTTAAAATATAGCATCACATTATACGTTTCATTCTGGTCCTCAGCTAGTCATCCTTTGTTTCAAAAACACCTACTCATCTTGGAGAACAGTGGCATTAGTCTGGCATGATTCATAACACTATTCTATTCTGCTCCCAATTTCCATTTCTGTTAAGTGTTAATTCTATGCTAGAGCCACCCTTGCATATTTATTCTGCCTTGCTTCTTCCCTTACGTGATAGGTTTCTAACGATTTCTTCTCAAATCCCTTGACTTCTGATATTTATTGTTTGTTTTTATAAGAAGAAGAATCTCTATGATTATTTTTCTTTCCCTATGCAATTCTAGTGTTTGGTGACTTCACTTTCCCATTATGACTTCTGATGCTATGCTAGCATGACCTTTGAAACCTGCATGAGATTCAAACCACTGTATAAATAGAACTTTGTATTCTCAAAATAATTTTGCTAAAACTGACACCGTGTTATCAAAATTATCTTCCTTCTATTATGTCTGTTTAGTCACATGCATACTATCCAATCGTGTTAATTTCTCTCATCATTCTTTCTGGGCCATGAATATATAACAATACTTCTGTTTTTGTCACAGTTCTTATTTTAGTTTACTTTTCATCTCTGTATTGGCTTTCTCATTACATAGCACTCCAGGCTCTTTCATTGTGTTGTGTAGTATTAGCACATATACAAATACAACACCATACAAAAAAAAGGTAGCTATTTTACCTGTATGAATACAGTTCAGTTCATTAGTAACGCTTCATGTTTTCCTTTCTGCCTTATTCCTTTCTTCACTTTAATTCTTTTTTTACCTAAAAACTACGCTCTCATTTCATGTGAATTTTCTTTCTTCTAGTGCACTTAAACGTTACAGAGAATACAAATTTCTTTTCCAATATTATTTCACTGCTCTTCATTGATCTTCTATAGAATATTTTGACTCAGGACTCTTTAAACAAAATGCTTTATAATCACTTAAATATGAATTTCAGAGGCCATAAAGTTTAGTTTAATCTCCTTCTATTGGCTGTCTAAAAGTAACTATTGCCTCTATTTTAATTTTCTTAAACTTTACGGGACCTTCCTTAAATGTTTTTACTAATTATAGAATGATAAAGTAATTCAGATTTTGGAAATGAAAGAAAGTATATTTAATTCATAATCAAAATGCTATGGGGACATAAAAATTAGCTATGGGGTGTTTAGTTATTTTTTTTTATTTTTTAGTCAGCCTGTGTGGCTGCTGCTTCATGAGAAAAATGTCCTGCAGATAACCATTACAGCATACAATCTGATATGAGACTTCATACAGCTATTTCAGCTTAGAAATTAATTCAAATTAATGTGGCAATAATTGTTGGAGCTTGGTTCCATTTTTGCTAATTAAAGATTGCTGGGAATGCCATACAAGAGACAGTGACATTTGTTAACAGGAAAACACTAATGGTTTGGTTGTTCCCATTGACCTCTGAAAAGGCTAGCCTAATAGAGTAGGTAGGTGAATAAATGTGAGTTATTCTTTATCTTGTTTAAAAGAAAGAAACCGTATTTCATCCCACTGACATCAGTGAGGAAAAAATAATTGATTACTCAGAATATTTCATGCTGCTGAAACAATATCAATTTGACAGAGAGGCAGTCTCAAGAATACGGCGTTTTCTAAAAAGTACAAAATACTGTATAAGGTATATCCTTGGCACAAAGCAATTTCAAATGTTGCCAGTTTGTGATCTCTTTAAAAAAAAAAAAAAAAAAGAGAGAGAAGATACACTATAAGATTAAAAATATCTACAAAATAACATTTTCCTGTCTTTTTTTTTTTTCAATTTGAGTTGCAGTATTTATTTAATATCATTCCATTTAAATAGCATATTCCTGAAATTTCTTATTTTGTCCGTATGATTAAATAAGTTGACACCGTCCCTACCTAAAGCTCTATTAAACATCACTTTTATCTAAAAGCTTAAAATTTCTACTTAAAGTTCTGTAATACTGAAAAGGAATATCAACCACAAACTGTAGGAGACTGTGTCATCAAAATATGGGCAATGTTATAAAAAAAATAACAAAGTCACTCATGATTCGAAATTTTACTTCACACAAATAGTAAATCTTAAAATAGTAATTGATCAGCATGACCTTGGTACAATAAAACCTATGAGCTTTAAGAGTGGATAGCCATTAAGAATGGATTTTTTTCCTTCAAATTTCAAGAAACAGACTGAGGATGTTCACTGTTGTTTTGATCTTGTGATCAAAATTTTCATTTAACAGAAGTGTTTTGTAGCTTTCAGTCTATTAAAAGCAACAAATTATGGTCTATCGCATTTTTCTAATTCAAATGAAAGTGGGATTATATACATTCTTATATTCTGGCCCCACTGACTCCTGCATGACACCATTTTCTGTCCTTGTGGGTACTATGAGAAAGGGAGAAAAGAGGCTGCAGTTTAAAACAGGGACAGAGAAACTAAAGGCAGAGCTACTGTCTAATTCTAGGATGCTTCTACATGAGCTACATAGCCCTTTACAATAAAGGGCTATGCAGGTGAATAGGCTATGCTGAAGCAGGTGAATCTTTTCCAGCTGAATTCCAGTCTGTGTGTGATAAACCTCTAACAATTGAAGATAAATCGTTTCCTAATATTCTACATAGACTGTTGTTGAGCTACCAGTTAGGACAACTGAGACACTAGCCTTGAAGCAGTTTCATCCAATGTTTTGCATCTGAAGTTTCTACTCATTAAACACCTGAAAGCTCCTCCAAAGTAATGCCTCCTATTTTATTTTGCTGGCTCACAGTGACAGAGGCAGATGTTGGCTAGTATTCCATTACATTTTGTTGCTGTGCAACAGATGGCAGCATAGAGGCAGTCTGAATCACAGAATCATGGAATGGCTTTGGCGTGGAAGGAACCTCAAGAATCATCAAGCTCCAACCACTCTGCCACAGGAAGGGCTGCTAACCTCCACATTTAATATTGGACCAGCCTGACTAGGGCCCCATCCAACCTGGCCTTGAACACCTTCAGGGATGGGACATCCACAACCTCTCTGAACAGCCTGTTCCAGCACCTCACCACTCTCATGGTAAAGAAGTTCCCCCTGATATCCAGCCTAAATCTTCTCTCCTTCAACTTAAAACCATTTCCCCTTTTCCTGCTATTATCTACTCTCTCATAGAGTTGAAAAGTTGAAAAAAAAAAGAGTTGAAAGAGTCTGAAAAAAAGGTATCTGACATGGAAGTATATATGAAGCAAAGGGGTGGAAATGAATGGAAAATAAAATAGAAAATAGAAGCCCATACCTGCAGATCAAAAATGAATTTGAAGACTTCAGTGAATGTCAGAATTTAAATGAAGCTCTTTGTATTCAGAGTATACATTCCAACCTGCCATTACATCATTAACTGCTGGAAGACAAGACAAGGTCATACCTTAACACAATGTTATTTAATTTTATTCAGTTAAAGTACTAATCACATCAATAATAAAGAAGCTAATCATTCCACATCCAGGCCTGTAAGTGTTTTACTTTCTTTTACTTGTTTTACAGAAGACAATGTTTTCATTCCTTATCATTGTCAAAATCATATTTCTGTCATTATTTTTTCTTTTAATGCATGCTAATTATGTAAATGTTATGTGCTTATATTTAACTGCAAATTAAATAATTTCTACAATGCTGATTGACGCAAGAGAGACACTGAAGCAGAGATCTTGAAGTTACAAATTAAATTGTCAGTAAATTTTGAAGTGGCTTTAGAAACCTTGGTTGTTTACGGAAATTGGTAAATATTATATTCAAGCAGGAAAACAGAAAATGGATCAATATAAGAGTAAGGCAAGAACACAAAAACTGTTCCTTTCAATATCAGGCTCGTCCTGTAGGTTCTGCTGCAACCAACTTCCATGCCATTTAATAACTAGCAGTGTGTTCAGATGCTTATATTTAATTTTGCCTGATTATGCATGATGTTTGTGAATAAAATTACTGTAATATTACTGTACTGACTGTGCTTTGTTAGATGTGTTCTCACTTTTTATCACTGTCCTAATTTTTCTTCCATCACAGACAGATATCTTGAGGAAGCTGTCCAGTAATTTTACTGGGATTTAGTTGATGAATTCCTCCTAGAAGAGTAATACTTCCTCAGAGCCTATTCAGATATTCTTTGGTATTTGCCACTGTGGACTGAGCAGAGATTACCCTCTTTCCTCAAATGCATCTAATATGCATCTGTCTCATCATGTCACACTCTAGTCTCATAAATAGCCAGGATTTTGACTTCACACGGAACTGCTTTGACGACTTTGATCAAAATGTCAGTTTTGAATCATTAACTCTTCATAAGATGATTCACAGATATTAACCTTAACTTACTGATTCTTAACCCTGCATAAATTTGAAGGGAACGGAATTACATGGAAATGATAGTGGCAGTTATACTTTGAAACTCTGCAAATGAAGAAAGAAGATGATCATAGTTTCACAAATATATGTTCAGTGTTCAATATGTGTCCTGGTTCACAAATATATGTTCAATTTAACTGTGATATACCCAAACATGAGTTCAAAGCTGGTTAAGGTGTAGGCATATATTACATAAAAAGAAATTCAGACTGTCACTAACTAGGCTTGCATAGTGTCTTTCACCACAACTCTTCAATTATAAAAATCATTTACTCTAAATTATATTTCCTTTTCATTATGTGTGCAGTGAAAGTGGAATATTTCTTCAGATATATTTATTCCTGAAAAAATATTTATCTATTTCTTTCAAAGAAAAAAAAAAGCATTATTAGTCATTTGATATTGAAGCAAATTGATTCTTTCTTTGTTTCATTGCTGAAAGTTTAAATTTAATTCTCTGAATAACTTATTTTGTCTGTGACTGCTCATGAGAAACAAGTATTAAAATGTGTAAGTATTCACAGGGAATTCTGTTTCCTGCCTAATAATATAAGTAAGCCATTATAGGTAGGGTTTAGTTATGTGTATTAATAGGAAAATTTATAATGCATTCATAATCATAAACTCATATTGATTTAGAGCTTTCATCAGTGTTAAATTTATATCAGAATTTTCTCATGAAATGATATCTGTGTCTTATGCCCCACAGGAATTTATTACAGATAGATTGTTTAAAAGAAGATATAGAAACAAGTAACAGACTAGAAAATTTAACTTTACACACTCCTTCTCCCCAAGATGATAGTAAGAGTTTGGAACAAGTGCTTAAAGGAACAGTGTGTATCTCCAACACAGAGATTGTCACAGTTTCAGTTCTGTATTAATCAGGCCTGTTAATTTTTTTGCAAGAATTTATTGCTTATAATCATTTTATTTGAATTAAGTACTACAGACCAAGAAAATACTCCCTTGAGAAACTGCAACAGTAGACTTATATATGCCATATTACTTTTTTTCTCCCATTTAATGTTTTTTAAGATATATGCACAAAGTACATACATATTTCCATAGAAAGTATGTACTCTGGCACCAGTTGGAATTGTGTCTGAATAAATGTAATTTAACATCACATAGACAACCCAGTGTTTGCTAATTGTTGTAAAGCTTCCAGACTAAGTAACTGTGAAGGGAATTAAATCCTGAAACAATTACAGAGCCATAGAATCACAGAATGGCTTAGGTTGCAAATGACTGTCCCACCTTGCCACCCTGCTGTGGGCAGGGTTGCCATCTGCTACATAAGAGCCTCATCCAACCTGGCCATGAACACCTCCAGGGATGGGTCTTCCACCATTTCTCTGTGCAACCTGTGCCAGTGCCTCGTTGCCCCCTGAGTAAAGAATTTCCTCAAACAATTTTCCCAAAATCTGTCAGCACTGCATGAGCATCCTAGATATTTCTTCCACACGAACCTGTTAAGTTACTATTCAAGGAAATAACACAAGTTCAAGTTTGATAATTGAATAAGAATACTTACACATCTGTTTAGTAAGAAAAAATGCATGTCTTAACAGGCACACACACACATAGTTGGGCTGGAAGATTATTATCAGCCAATCACTCCATTTTACTCACTAAGTGATAAGTAAACATATAATGCATGCGGGTTTCAAACTGATTCTGTGTGGTGGGCACAGGAGGCAGCATTATCACTGCATTGTGCCCTCCTCTCTACAGTGTTACACTGTCTCATATTCAGTCTGTAATCAAGTTACTTGCAATCGACTTGTGAAAAAATATTGCTAAAAATCATATAATAATGTTAAAGGTTTATGATCCTGCGGGACCACTTTACCTAGCTGGACCAGGTGGTATTCTGCCCATGTTGGACATGCTTGATCATAGGTCACTGATAAAGATGTTGAAGAGCACTGGTCCCAAGATGGAACTCTGGGATACATCACTCATTACCAGCCTCTGTCTGGACACAGAGCCATTCACCACAACCGTCTGGCTATGACATGCGACCAACTCCTTTTCCACTGAATCGTCCACCCTTCAAATCCACATTTTTCCAACTTAGAGATAAGGATGTGATGTGGGACCATGTCAAAAGCCTAGCTGAACTTTGAGGAGATGACTTGATGTCTGATGATTCAGTCACTCTTCCTTTGTCTACTGATGACACTCCACAATAGAATGCTACCAGTCTTCAAAGGCAGATTGTGCCTTTGAATTTATGCTGATTGCTTTGGATCACATCATTGTCTTGCATGTGCCTTAAGATAGCTTCCAGAAGGATCTTTTTCATTAAAGAGTGCTGCCCTGTATTTCCTTGGTCTTCCTTTCTTCTTTTCTTAAAAATGAGAGTGATGTTTCCCTTTTACCAGCTACTGACAATATCACCTGACAGCCATGACTTTTTAAATATGATGGAGACTATGGCTTGGTGACTATATCAATCAGTTCCTTCAGGTCCCTAGGATGGATGTCATCAGGCCCCATGAATTTGTACATGTTCAGTTTCATCAACTGTATTGTACTGGAACTTTAAAGGACTACTGATTGAGATGAATTAAGAGGAAAATATTTTCAGTGTGGCTTCTACAAAAGTTGGACTCCATGATCCTTGTTGAACCCTTCAATCTCTTCAAGCATATTCAGTGATTCTGTGATTCTTTGCATTTGTAAGGTTCAAATTATTATGACAAATTAATTTCCTAAGTCAGTCAGATTCTTTCTGTGTCCTAAGATATGAAAATCAAGGGCTTTGTTATTTCCTAGGGATAGTTTTTTATAACAGCGTAAAGCTCCAACAACCCCCAGTCAGTTTTTTCAGTATTTCCTTAAATTCTTTATCAGCAATTGACATGTTAAAACTGTTTTCATCACTTCAATTTGTGAATGTAAATATTAATCTAATCTTATTTAATAGTTCAAACTGAACGAAAAATTTAAATCATATTTATCAACTAACTACAGAACAGTTTAATCTAGGAATTCATCTGTTTTGCAAGCTCCACAATCCTTTGATCAAGAACTATAATTAAAAAATATACATTTCAAATTACCCTGCCATTTTCAGATGAAATATTACAGACAGGAGAAGCACAGAAGACCATTTTTTCTTCTAAGATCATGTTTTTTAAAAAAACAATTTGGCTGTCTAAAATGTAAACATTTTTCAATAATGTAAATAAAACAATTTGAAAACAGACAAAACCAGTTTAGTTGTGTTCTTATTTTGAAATCACAGACTTTACGCTGTCAGTTATGATAAATGTCACGTACAAATAGAGTAAATTGAAGATTTGTAATACTCTGATAACCATTTGCCTTTTAATTCCTGTCACAGACTTTTAACAAGATAATAATGTTTTTCTCTGATCCTACCTCAAAATGAAGAATTATTTAGGGAGAAGAAATCGTGGTCGATTCTTCATTCCCTTCCAGAAGACACTAGACATACCACAACATTAAAATAAAATATATTATAGAATTTGCCCATAAAGAGATTGTTACTTGTTGAGATCTGTGGTCTCTTTACGAGCAGAAATTACAGAACAGTGTACCACAGCACCAAAATGATGATCATTTTTCAAGTTTATATTAAACATCAATGATGATTTCTCAAAGTGGGTGTACAGGTTCCAATAAAGCTAGTAGCCTTCCAACATTATTTATTCATGCTGAAGTGGTGCTCTTCATTCCTCCTCTCCAACCACGTTGTGAGCTATTAGATGGCAATGAGCTGAAAAGGAGCGTATAGACTAGAAATTATGAAAGTGGTATTTGCTTTGAACTTGTAGTGGGCAAAGATCTTCTTATTTTACAGGAATACAATGTATTATTCTCTTTTACACACTGATGACTGCATAAGCAGATATAGCTTCAATTCCGAAAGCAGATACTACGTATTACCATGAAGTCCTGAACTGAACTGATTGATGAACTTCAGTGTAACATAGTCAGTTGGGATGCAGCTAAAA